GGAAGAATATTTGATGAAGTTTTTTGTCAGGAAACGGAATGAAGATAAGAGCAGAGGAATTCATGTTCAGAGTTGAGAAATTGAAAATTGTAAATAGGGCTTTGTTAACAAAATGGTGGTGGAGTACATAGAAAATAAATTGCGGAAGGAAATTTTGGTAGCCAGGTATGGTGAGGATGAAATTCACTGCAGATAAAAGAAGGATTGAAATCTAGGAGAATGTATTATATTTGGAGAGGAATTTATCACTGTAGGTTGCATTTGGAGAGGAATGTTGGTAGTATATTAGGGAGGGGCGACAATGCTCTATTTTGGCATCGTAAATGGCGTAATGGTCGTGCACTAAAGTGCCAGATGCCAAAAATTTTAAAAACCACAATATAACAGGGCAAAGGACATGGCAGAGGGATGAGGACTTCAAGCGGTTTGGAATATTGCTTGCAGATATAATAGAATCTCATATACTTTTATTTCACATGATTATCTCTACACTTATAGAGAAGATGGGATGGTTTGAGAATTGGTATCTTGTGGCGAGTTTTCCATATGATCTCCATACCATCATTTATTCTATGATAGAATTTAGTGGAATCAACAGAATGTCAGAAAAATTCGGAAATGGGCAATTCGACATATGTTACAAGAATTCCTTAAAAGTTCTTTTTATCTCTAGGGAAAACACTTACATCGGATTTGCTTAAAAGTGGGCCAAATCAGTGTTAATGTGCCTATCCTTTGCAAAAGGATGCAGAAACTTGTGGTCACTTGTTCTTATGCACAAATGGAATATGGTTTTTGGCCTTGTATAAGGTGGAACTTCATCTTACGCTCCCAGATCGGTCATTAACATAGTATTACATGTTATGATAAAATTTGGAGGTGCATCTTCATTGAATTGTTCAAGTTTTTAGAGCTGCAGTTTTATAGGGAAGTTTTGGAAGGAAAGGAATCGAATACATTTAAGGGAAATGCGATGAAAGGGGATTGAAGAAAACAATCTCACATACGATTGTCTAGCCCAGTGTTAATTACAAAAGATCTCTAACCTTTGACGTCATGGTACATACACATGAGGTGATAAGATTGACTTCATCTAAAGAATAGACCTTTAAGTATATTGGGTTTGGGCATATGCAACGTGTATATTTTTTTTTTTTTTGTTTAAAAAATATATATATTTCCTATTTAATTTACAAAAGGGTTAGTATATTATGCTTTTGCTGGAGCATAGTGTACATCTACTCCCTCGGTCAAAAGATATACATGGGAGATTTTATTTATCTGGAATTTTAAAAACTATTCAAAAAATTACTAGATGACTATTCTCAAAAGGCATAATTTGAATTTTCAGTTTTTCTAGCACTTTGATCCCACTTTCTAAAAGTTGGACGGTCTCTATTCATTCTTAAGACATTTTTTTTACGTGCATAAAGGGTGCAATTAGGAAATTTTTAATTGAGGTTCACCTATGTGTTGAAGGGCCCTAAAATTAACACTAGATGGGCTTTTGCCAGATTGAGTAAATAAACAGTATACTCCCGTGGGAGCATAATATCCTTTGGCTTTAAAAAAATATATTTATCTTTTCCAAATTCAAAAAATTAATTTATAGGAGTGCGAGATTCTAAACAATCAAATTAGGGCGTACCTCAAAATTTTTACTAAAAGATATTGTTTTAGTGCCCAGAAATCCTCAATTGATCATCTCGACCTCAAGATGCATGGACATGAGAAAAAAATGGATTTCAAGTTTTGAAAATAGTGCGTCTTGTAATGTATTTTTGGAACGTCAATTTTCTAAATTTTCAAGTTTTTATAGATCTACTTTATCTACACTATTTTTGAAGCTTTAAATTTTATAATTAGAAATGAAAATATATTTTATGGCTATCACAAAAATTTACAGTATTAAAACCATATTTCTTTACACTATTTGAATGTGCGCTTAACTTTGATCGTTTAAAGCCCTCGCCTTATACAAACCTCACCCTTTCCAAATAGCTCAGATAATGCTAGTACTTGAAAGAACGGACGGGTGGGACCGGTCAACCATCCAAAAAACTAGTCCGGTTCAGTGGATCACCAGTCCTTTGGTGGATTGGTTGGTTCGGGCTGATCCGACTTTAAAAAACACTCAAAAAATTGCTAAAATTTCTTGAAGCTATGGTTTTAAAGGTTCTACAAAAAAATAAGCGGTATTCAATTATGGTTTTTCATTGTTTTACTAAACACGTGGACATACTGAGAACCTATTTCATTTTTGGGTAATTTGTCATTTCACACAACAATGGGTGAGGTTTGTATAAGGCGTCAATCTTAAACAACCACAGTAAGGTGCTTCTCAAAATCTCATTAATTGATGTATCTTCGGTACCAAAACTCTTGTCATGGCCTAAAAGTCTATTTTTCACCCCTAAAATGAAATTGAAAGCTCCGAAAATGTTGCAAATCTAGCAAATCTATGAGCACTCGGAAATCTTGAAAATGAACAATCTAGATAATGTGTTATAAGATAGACTAATTTTAAGACTTGAAACTCATTTTTTCTTTCATATCCATACAATCGAGGTCAAGATGATTAATTGGAGAATTTTCTAATGACAAAACAACCTTTTTTTAATGGTTTTTGAAGTGCACCTTACTTCTACAGTATAAGGTTGAGACTTATATAAACTTTTTCCCTCAACAATTCATCTTCCCTAGCTCAATTACCCAAAGGGATAAAGAAATATGTGCCAATAAAAACCAAATTGACACTAAAATTATTTCCTCTGCCATCTGAGTCAAACCAAAATATATAATGAATACATTCTTTCAGACATTTTTTTAATTTAATAGTGAATTTTCTAGCTAAGAAAAATAAAAAATAAAAATGAAAGAAGCAGCATGAAGGTATTCCCGAATTGCACAAAGGCAAAATAGTATAAAGAACCAGTAAAGAACAGATAGAGTTATACACAGAAGAGCAAGAAATGGTGGAATTGAAAGTCAGATAAGAAGGGAGTGACCAACCTTACAGAATTAGCATCGAGCTCGAGATCCCTTCCGCAATCTGCTTCTACTCTAGCCCATTCACTGGTATGAAAAACACCGACATAAAATTGACGCACAAATACACAGCAAAAACCAAGAAAAAATAAACCCAGACACAGAAACGAAAATCGTGAGGATAGCTGACTTGCAGTTTACTACAGGAATTCCAAATGGGTCATGCATACTAGCAACAAATCCATAATTATTGCCAAAAATGTAGAGAGAATGGTTTAGTCCCTAGAGCAAATCACTTGCATAGGACGAGGATGTGGGACGTGAGAGAGAAAATGGGGAGAATTGCTCAACCCCATGCGCATAGGGATTAACTTTTATATAAAGGATTGTTCGAGATCATTTGTCTTTGATATAAAGAAGTGGCAATTATTTTTAGTTATTAATTGTAAAATTGGATGGCTTGAAAAATATCACAAAATTTGATTTTTTTATTTTTTTTTTAATTTTCGATTTAGTCGATAACACTCTTACAACCATCCGATTTGAAATTTGACCGACATGAGTAGCTGTGACATCCTTGTATAAAAATAAATGGCTTCTTTGTATAGTTATTCCTTTATATAAAGGTAGGGAGATAAAAGAGAAAACAACAGTAGAGAAAGCAGGTAGCATAGGTGAAGAATTTTAGTCCCACATGAGAGACGTTGGAAGAAAATGGGACTAAAGACAATCTAAAAGAAAGGCTCACTCTACTGTATGAAGTCAAGGGCAAATCATGCTCACCCCAATCACTTAAAGATTAGTGAAATATGAAAGTAAAAAATAAAATAAAAATGGAATTAAAAAATAAAGATTAATAAAAAAAACTCATAGAAATTAGGTGGTCAGCCCAATTCCCTAATGGTACAAGCTGGTTTTGTTAAAGAACCAGCCAGTTCTTGGAGGGAATTATTTAGTTTTCAATATATGTAGGGAACCAAGATTTGGGCAATTCCGTCCTGACCTGGTATCTTTTAAAATATTAGATTGTAGTACATACTTAACTGCCTAATATCACCTGCTATTTAAGGCCAAGCCCAATTCCCAACTCATTGGAGCACCTAATTCTCGATATTACCTACTTTAATTTTCTTTTTCTTAATTTCTTGGATCACACCTATAGGCCCATACGATGAAAAGCACCTTCATGACCCATGTCAGGAGTCCAAAGAAGTCCCTATTGCCAAAGATGAAGTCCCACTCTACAAACCATGAATTATTTATTTATTTTTTATTTTTAACAGTTGGATTTGTACCCTGTTGTGGTGCTGGAATTATCAACACCCTAACCATTGAAGCCGCCTGGTGCTTGAAACTGGATCAAAGCTGGAACTGTCAACACTCTTAACCATTCAAGTCCGGGTCCACTGGCAAGATGGAAACCTTATTTTATTCCTTTGTTTTGCTCTTTCTTTGTGGTGGATCTTAACTCGGCTTTTGATGCCTACAGAGCATGTTAGTTTGCTCATCTAAGGGCCTCTAGGGATGGTATAAAACATTGGTGTGAGGCTGATAACTATAGCTAACTGTGCCCAATTTTAAAGAAATGCCACAGTGCCATCTGAAAAGATCAGAATGGGACCAGTACCACTGTGCCCCAGTTAAAAGTCATAGCCTCCATTCTCAGTAACGCATTAAAAAATCTGACTATTTCCAAAAACAGGTAAGGGCCTGTAATCCCTACTAATCTATTAAAAAATTAGAACCATCAGAAAATTGTGCCCAATTATATGGAAAGCACTGCTTATTATATATCAGGCAAACCATGGGAAAACTTAAGAACCTGTTATCCTCTTATCATGGATGAGGTAACTTGATGTGGATACTTATAGCCTGCACCTCATGGCCCCCAAACTAACAACTCTGAATTCATGGGTTGAGAAATGCACTCTTGAAACATTTGGAACCACCATGATTCTTTTGCTGGTTTCTTGTTTACTCCAACAGAGTCATCCATGAATGGAGGTAAAAAATATTTTAACATCCCTCACTAACTTAGTGGGGAAAAAAAAACCAATTTGAAACATGCAGGAATTTCCTAATTCACATACATTTTACACCAGTGGTGAAATAATACTTCAACTTCACCCCATAAAGCAAACATAACTGCCAAAGATTCTCATGCACTGGGAGCTCCACAAGTTTGTATGAACTTAACAAGATGTGCATTAGACTCTCTTTGATCGAAATCAACAAGTACGTGATAAATAAGAACAGTCACTACCTACCTACACAAGTATGCAATGCATAAATGAAAAATAATTTCCTTGCTCCATGATGCTCCTCTTCCCTCTCTACCATGTACCAACATCTTGTCTCCAATCTACACCACGTCCATCTACTCACTCAAGGTGTCAGCAAGGTCCCAAGGCCACGACTGTCTTTTAGACCGGTGTTAGTCCAACCACACCTGCATGCATATGAACCACCATAATAATATATCCTGAAATCTTCATTTGCGTAATTCAAATAATGGAAATAAATTTTTTTTTTTTTGAGAACAGGTTAACTTTCAAAAGAACAGAAATAACTTCCTGGAAGTTGATGACATAATCACAAGAGACGCCTCAAATGTGTTGCTGGAAGTTTATGACATAATCACAAGAGATGCCTCAAATGTGTTTCATTCAGTTAAATAGTGCAATAGATTCAAGCGGCAGTAGTTGAAGTACTAGTTTCTTCATATTTTTTTTGGTTGCCAACAAAAATCATTAAACAAAATTTGATAGTACACATGTTTTTCCTCGCATTCACAGAAACAAGTCTATATACAACAAACTCTACAAAATTGAACAAATATAATCACAACCACTTTAAAGTATGGTCACGACCAATTCTTGCTCAACCACTCCTCTTGAAATGCTGATATAAAATGCAAATAATTCATTTCACATGAGGCAAGCAATCAATTGGATAGGAACATCTATCCAATTCCTAAAAAACACAAGCAATCTCCAGTAAAGGGTAGTTAAAGGAATAATTGCATGGGTTGGTTTCGAAGATGCAACTAAGGAGGGTTTTATCTTTTGATGCCTGAGAATAAATTACCAAACAAGTTATGGGAGATTTACCTTTCATACCATTAGAAGTTGTAGAACTTGTTGGATTATCTTACAAAAGATGAAATTGATTTTACACCGTGAAGCTGCATGTGAAGTAAGTGGTAGTGGTACAATCGAAATTAACTTGGGCTACTTCCAAATGCACTTAAAGACGTTATTTGGATCTCACCTCATGACTTTATTACTCAACATTCTTGATTCAATAGAAGCAAGTATGGACATTCCCCAGTTTCTAATCAACATTTAAAAGCAAAGGATGTCAATATTTCAGGCAAGTAGTTTCTCTTGATTTCATGCGAACCAGGCTATACAGTTGCTACACTCTACCGGATATGAATAAAAAACAAGCCAATGGTAAGACCGCTTAAGAACTAATATGATTAAATTTCAATCCAGATCAAGACCCTTATTTTTAACACCCCGGATTAGTAATAGTTAAAAACAAAGTTTTTACATATGCGGGGGTGTCTACTGCTTTTGTGCCAATAGCACAGAAAGAAGAAAAGGGAACACCATTGGATTTTCTAGTGTACTCTCTCTTTTTAAGCTATTCGCTATGCTCAGGACTATTAATGACAAAACCGAATGCTACACTTTCAGAAGGCCATTCACAAGGAAAATTCAAACACAATACGATAATCTAGTAGCAAGGAATAGTAATTAGCATATTCATTATTGGACAAAACTGATCACTTACACTTCGAACAATCCATATTAACTGTGACACATAATGAGGCGTACCTGCAGATTGTAATAGGAACTGAGCTTTCATTCACTTTCCGTCTTTCTAAAATACACTTCCCTTTATTAATGAATGGAGGACAAGGTAGGTGGTGGTGACAATACATTGCTAAATTATTAGGAAAAGTGCACATGCTACACACTAAAATGTATCCTAGAGACCGCTCCCAAAAAGAGCATCCATCATATCAATAGACTCTTCATGGATATATACCAAGAGGAGATCTCTACATAACTATCTCATGGGTCTCTTGTAATACATCCACAATTCTACAGGGACCAACAGATCCAAAGATAATTCCCCTACATTGAAGGGATGTGAAAAGGACAACTTGAAAATCCAAACACTGCTAAGGAGCCATTCACTTTGCTTTGTAAAGTTCTCCAGCATGGTTCAATCTTAATATCTTTCACTTCTCTAAAATCCCCTGCATTTATCTCACCCAGGCCTTGAGAGATCTTGAGACCAAATGAACTATGATTGAAATTATGCACGAGCAACTTCCTGAAAAGCACCACCTCCATCATCTGGAGAAAAGCTTCAACGTTTCAAATAAAGAGAGAAGCTTCATTTTCTCCCATATGATCCCTTACCTATTTCCCCTAAATTCTTCACTAACCAAAGTTCATCAAAACAAGCCCAATATGTACAATCGTCACAGTCCACGGTCTCTTATTCATATCTTGTTATGTCTCTCCAATATGTGCACAATGGAACAATCACTGAAGCATCCAATACCCTTTTTCTGTGCAACTAACACTATTAAATGAATGAAAATCATTGTATCTTAACCTCTTTCAGAAAAACCTTCCCAATCTTTCCTTCGTTAGAACCATTACAATGCATATGCACAATTGAGATATTTCAAGCACTTTATACACACACCTAATGTTATCAATATTCTAACAGTTAATATAGTTTCTATTGGATAGCTTTGATCAAAATTGCATGTAGCATCTCCAAACCGTTTGGTCATGAAGAATCATGTAACCCATTGGCTCGCTGGGGGAGGCCATAAAGAGGGCAGAATATCATTGAGACCATTGTGCACAGTTCTCACACATCCATGTCAATTATTAGCTGCAATAAATATATTGGTTGAATGCAATGCAATAAAAACCACACCGGAAAATTGGATTAAAGAATTATCCGGTTTGGTATTTTACAACTGCACTCGTCAAAATGACCAAAATCTTTTGATGAACTTGATAAAGAAGGATAAATTCAAAAAGTTATAACAGAAAAACATTAAAGATCCAAAAATAAAGATCAGGGAAATTTGGAGAAAAACAAAAAACACAAAAGGAAATTCATGATAAAACATAAACATGCATAATATTAATCAAACCATAAAAAACTTTCAAAATCAAAAGCTCAAAACCCTGATGTGCAGATGAAAACTTTTCAGGAAATGACTTCTCAAATCTAACTCATCAACGATGCAAAAATTGGTCATAGAATCTAGGGATGCACTCTGAAATGATCAAATGCCCTTGAAACTGGGGAACTCATCAACGAAGCATAAATTGGTCATAGAATCTAGGGATGCACTCTGAAATGATCAAATGCACCTGAAACTGGGTGAAGTTAACCTTTGGGAGTTAAGCTTACTTTTTTAGAAGGGGAATTGTTTAAGGGTTTTTATCCTCTGGATTGATGTTGGGAGCAAATTATCTATATTTTTTGAATGCTCTGCCAGTGACATTATGAAAAATCATCGTTCATGTGGATGGCATTATCATTCCATCCTTCCTTGTCAGCAGTTCCAGTTTCATATGAAGGATATGGGTCATCTACAATATTTCTTGGTGCTGAGGTCTCATGATTACAGATAATGCATGGTGTACATTTTGTCTAAGTGCAGTTAAGATCTTATCTAAACTGATAAACACTAGATGCATGTACTAATTATGCACAACATAACATTATGCAAGTCACTTATGCATGACTGTTTTGAATGTAAAACAGTACAACTCAAAAGGTACATCAGAGAGCACATTACTTAAATATATAAGAGTACTGGATTAGAATCTTATGCAATTGCAAAATAATCTTTTCACCACGCCCCTCATAAAAACTCAAAAGGTTTCATTACTTGAGCTTCGAGAGAGCCAGATCACTGTCAATACTAGAACATTCCAGACATCTTCTCAAAGAAAATTTATACATATATTCATAAATAATCAGTTCTATATGATTAGAAAGAAAACCACACATAGACACCAGGGTTCTAATTTCTAGCAATATTGACTGCTTTCTCGGAAAATAAAGATTGTTCGACTTTTAATTGCCAGAAATGACTTGGTAACAGAATAGCATCAAACCATATTTTAAAATTCATATTTCAGAACTGCAACTAACACCACAGAAGGGCAAAGAAAATTGAGTTATATTCCATACCACATGCCAGCCTTCCACCCGCATTACCAGTAGTTAGACTAAGCTCATGCCCTCCTACAGAAAGGAAACATTTAAAACAATGATGGTCGATTCAGAAAGCAAGATTGATAGGGAGGTTGTGAAGTGTTTCAGATAATGCAGTAACTGACAATAAAGAGCATGATGTCACTGCAAAACACCAAAAGTGGTGATTATGAAATTACCCTTTCCAAGATCATCCTCAAGCTCATGCACAACAAAGGCTCTTCCAATGACAGCATTAGACCCAGACAATGGTATCTGCATGATTCACCTTATCATTTACAGATAAAGAAAATTGCATATACTAAGACAGGATTTGGAAGGTAACAAGGAGGGGATATATTAAAGTTAATAAGAAGTGTCCTCCAAATCAGACTACAGAGAGAACATTTACCTGGTTGTCCACGATGGTTGCCTCAGCAACTCCTGCTCACATAATCCAGCACAAAAAACAGTAAAGTCAAACACTAACGCAAGATGAGGAGAAATATTTCAGAATAGGAATGAATCACATTACCATCTGCATTGGCAACAATGTTTCCCAGGTCACCCGCGTGGCGTATTTCATCCTCAGGAGCACCATGTGTGAGTTTCTTAGGGTTGAAATGTGCTCCTAATAGAAGTCAAGTGGTTAGAGAAAATACAATTACAAGATACATATTGCAATTCTGCCTGATAGTTCCATTGCAAAAAAGTCATTGTCCATAAATAAAAGGATAATGACTGTTTTATGAATATGAAGTTAGCTCTACTGCCTACACATAAATTGAAGTGTATTACATGACAAGGTGTTGACTGACAGAATTAACTCCAACCTGTTGACATGCATCCATTGGTAGTGTCGCCAAACTCATGCTGCAGACGGAAATGATGAAGGGTCAGTTCCAGGCATCAATTTCTGTCAACTATTAACATCATATTTGAGGAATCACTCACAAGATGGAATCCATGTTTCCCAGGAGTAAGTCCAGTTATGCGAACATTCACAGTTGTAGGACCTGTTGAACAAAGAGCTAATTATTAAGGACAGTTTTTTATCCATGAAGGCTTTCGCCATGTTCAACTATTTGCTATTGGAAGTAATAGAAGACAGGTCAATCCAGATGTTATTATGCATGAGTTGTTAAGCATTAAAAATTAGCTAGTTAAAAACATAGTAGCAAACTCAAGACACAATATCACTCTAAAGAATAGAAAATGAACAATGAATATACAGTACCAATGTTACTAAGACCAGACTGGACAGTCCAGTCTGATCTGTTGGACTCGGAACTCATCTTGGAACTGACGCTGCAATTGGTCAAAAACAGCCTCAACTGACATATCCAACCAGTTTGACTAGCTGAACTGGTTTTGACCTGTTCAGACTGATTTTGATCAGTTTCTATATTTTTTGTTTATATTTTCCTGACTAGTTTGACTCGTGAACTGGCTGGTCCAAATGGTTTGGGGTAGACCAGTGCCCTCACCTGTTCGATGAATGGTTTGCTCTTGATAACACTGTATAATGCGGGACCACAAATTTATGTTTTGTACATCTTAGTCAGCACTCAGAACCTGAAAGTTCCTCTTGATTTCACAACTTCTCTTTGACCTTTCCCGTATTTGGCAATTGGTTTGAGGTGTGAGCTCAACTGCCATGATAACACTTGTTGTGGTGAGCCCCCAGACAACTACAAATTCAATACCCGAAAAATAACTTGCCAGACCACTAAAGTCAATCTCATGAACCCGAAAAGCACAATAAATATAAATTGCGCAATGCACCCATAACCTTCCCTGAATCGGAGAAGATAATAACTGGTCAGTGTATGCCAGTGTTCACAAAATCGAACCGGAACGGTTAACCGGACAGGGTTGAGAGCGGTTTGAACCAGAACCGGACCCAAAAAAAAAAGAAACAACAACAACAACAACAACATTTATCTTATTGCATACATTTATCTTACAAAACAAAATTGAAACAACTTTTTATAAATTAATATTTGAATACTATGGTCCTGTACATATAAAATATTGAAGATAATTAAGAAGTAAATTGCAGATAATTATTTCAAATATAAAAATTTTCTATTGTTATATTTTTAGCAAAATAAAATGGTAAACAATTACTCAAGCAACTAAAAATTCATATGAAAAAAAAAAAAAACGAAATGAAAGGTCACATGAAATTCATACATGTGATCTCAACTATAAAAATCAAGTAAAAAATTTCGACTTTTAGACCAATTTAGGATTGCAATCTTTGAAGGACCTCTGACATCTACAAAATCCCTCGAAAAGGATGAAATTTGGGTCCAAAATCTCGATTTTTTGCCAATTGTTGTCGATTCAGTTCAGAAAAACTGAGATGATGCCCTAATCTGTAGAAATCAAGCCTGAAATTTGGATCTTTTGATGACACTAGGACTTGAAAAATATGACTAACTCTCACATCTACAAATTCCCCAAAATTTAACTGAGAAAGGATAAAAAACGGGCCCAAAATCCCCAAAATTTAACTTGGTTCAGAAAAACTGAGACAATGCTCTAATCTGTAGAAATCGAGCATGAAATTTCTATTGTTTGATGAAACTAGGACTTGAAAAATCTGAGTAACTTTGACATCTTCAAAACCCCTAAATTTTGACTGAGACAGGATAGAAACAGGGCCCAATCTCGAGTTTGGCGAATTTTTATCAACTCAGTTGAGAAAACTGAGATGAGGCCCTCATCTGTAGAATTTGAGACTGAAATTTTGGTTCTTTAATGAAATTAGGACTTGAATAATCTGATTAATGCTAACATGTACAAGAACACCAAAATTTTACTAATTAAAAACTGAAAACAAGGCCAAAATCTCTTTTGAGACACCGTGAAGAACACCCAAAAAAAGCTTCAAAATTTCGAATTCCGGCATATTTCCGGTTGGAAATCCGTCTTTTTATAATGTCAAATCAATTATTTTAGTCAATAAATGACTGAAAAAACCTGAAAAATGTTGAAAAAGGTGAAAAAATAGAATCAAACAAAAAATGCGAAAACAACGGCCCACTGCTTAAATTAATGGGATTTATTATATAACGAGCGTTATATTATGTTATAACACGTTTTTAAAGAAAACCGGTCCGGTTAGGCTAAAAACCAATCGGTTAGGATGAAAATCGAGCGGTTCAAGCCAGCTCCGGCCGGTTTTGGCCCGGACTTATTTTGGGGAGGTTTACCCTATGACTAGTACACTAAAACCGGTGCTAACCGGAACCGGAAGGGTCCCGGTTCCAATCTAATAGGTCGGTTCCGGTTTGAACCGGCCGATTTTTCAAACACTGGTGTATGCCATCTCCGACCAATAGGTACCCCCCTCCTAAGGATTATATTCTCCAGGACAATATGTCAACATATATGGGGAGCACTCTCCATAACACGTCATCCCGACATGCCATGATCAGTCAAAATGTCACTCTTGAGGGCTTAAGGTCTTGCCCATTAAGCGTTAATATTTGTGTACACTTTGTGCCTATCATTTGAGAATAATATCGAAGGCTTCATCTGGATGAAACTGTGGTACGTCAACTGTACTAACCCCCTAGCCCTTGCAACATGTACCTATAGAAACTTTACCTCAAATCACCTCACTCAAGGTTTTCACTAGTTTCCTAGAGCATGATCTATAGACAATCATTAGTCCCACATGGTCCCTTAGTCCAAACTGAACTTCGTTGGGTGTTATTGTCTCCTTTTGGCACCTACTAAACTGACATAGGCACATGTGTTCGTCGGTTAGTTTCAATATAGATTTATACGCATGGAGGACACAAGGCCTTGAAGGGCGAATAAAATACCAAAACTTTGGAAGAAATGCCCATTGCAGTCTCATCAGCCATGGCCTAGAGAACCTAGCCCATTTCTTTTGAAAATGTGTCTTGAACATCAAACTTAAGGTACAATGTGGCAACTTGGAGGAATTGTGGTGTTCAGGATCTGGAAAGGTTTAAGATGGAGAAGAAAATGCAAATATGTAAGAATAAAATCAAAGAATGGAATAGGAGCACATTCAGGTTACTAAATGAAAGAAAGTCAGCTACTTCGGAGGAGTTGGGGCCACCAATAGAAATGAGGAAAGGTAGAAAAGGGAGGACCTACACAATGGGGACAGAATTGAGAGAGTGGACTTGAAAAGAATATATGAGGACATTGTGGGGCAAGATGAGATATCATGCAGACAACTCGCGGATGAAATGGATGCAGGAAGGGGATAGGATACTTCGTACCTCCAAAACCATCTGGGAAGGGGTAATGAGACAACAAGATCCAAATGGAAGGCATCTTGTTCAAGGACGAAGAAGGGGAAACAGAGGCGATGGTGAGACTTTCAAGTTCTCTTTACTTGGCAGATAGACAGTGGAGACCTGAGCTCCAAGGATTGGAGTTTGAATTGATATCGATGGGCCGTAGAAGGTTTATTCAGAGGGGTTCCATTGAAGATGAGATTACATATGCTATTGTTTCACTGGGGAGGGACAAGGACCTAACGGGTTCACAAGGCCTTTTTCCCAGGATGGAATAAAACTTAATTATCTGGTCATTCTTTGAAGAGTTTCATTCTAGGGGCACTTTAAATTAGGGGCTAAATGCGATATTCATTATTCTCATCCCTAAAGTTTAAGGGTGGTGGAGATTAACGAATTCATGTCAATCAGCCTCAAAAGTGATGTCTAATACATTCTTGTTAAGGTCCTGGTATTGAGAACCAAATGGTGCTACGGCATCGTCATCATCCAAGCATTATCCCAATGATTTGGGGTCAGCTAAAATGATGCTAAGCCATATCATCTCAAATACACAAGGAGCTTTTGTGCAAGAGGCAGATTTTGGATGGGGCCCTTGTTGCAAATGAATGTATTGACTTGAGGCATATGGGGAGAAGACTGGGGGTGGTGGTCAAAATAGTTCTGGAAAAAGGCTTAGGATATGGTGGACTGGGATTTCTTTTGGGGTACTTCATGAGCAGGATGGAATCGAGGGATATAAAGAAGGTACATAAGGGATTCTATCTTGTCTGCAACATTTTCTACACTCATTAATGTAATAGCTGAAAAGACTTCTTTCCTGGATCAAACGTCTCTGCCAGGGTGATCCATTTCCATCTGTCGCACAAGTGGGTGAAGCCCTAAGCCAGCTGGTTAATAAAGGGCCACAAGTGGGCTTATTGAGGGATTTTCAGTTTATCCATTGGGGCAATCATTATCTTGTCTTCAGTTTGTGTATGATACCATTCTATTTTGTGATGCTACACCATGGCAGGCTGATAACATACTGATGATTATCAAATGGTTCACTGACCTCAGGACAGAGGGTAAATCTATACAAAAGCTAGATTATGAGTGTAGGGGTTGATGATCATGTGACGAACCAGGTGGCAACTATCCTCCACTGTAAAATTGTTTCCCTTCCTCATAAGCTATTGGGATTTCCCCTATGTATGGGAAAACTCGGAAGCAGTTGCAAAACCCGGTCCTTGAAAGATGTGAGAAGAAGCTAGCCCCATGGGAGGTCCAATGATTTTCCGTGGCAGATTGATTTCCTTGAATATTCCACCTTTAAAAGCATCGCAATATATTTTGTCATTTTCCCGAAGCCAGGGGCCATTTCTAATTGATTTGAGAAGTTGCAAAGGGATTTCCATTGCAGGGAAGTAGTGACGCGAGAAAGTTTCAATTGGTAAATTGGAAAGTATTTGCAGGCCCACGTTCTGTGGTCACTTGGGTATCTGAAGACTCCGAGAGACCAAGAAAGCACTATTGGCGAAACAACAAGACCTTTCAGGTAGAGAATGAGCCTTTGGGTGAAAACTAAAAGGGGATGTAGGGGAGGGTATGGAAGGCTGGGGAGTCAAGGTCTTGGGTAGATCGGCTAGAATGTCAGGAGTATGGGGAGGTATTGCTTCATTCAGTAGCTTATTCAAGGAGGACATTAGATTTAGAGAGAGAAATGGGGAGAGAGCGAAAGTCTGGGTCAG